CGCGATGTCGCGCTCGTGCCCGCCGCTGCTGCTGCAGCGGCGGAGGAAGGTAATTCATACTATGACTTAAAATTTTATAGTAGGTGACTCGTGTATGCTCAAATGAGTGGTCACCGGTTTGGGGGCGACGAAGCTGATGCCGCGGCCAGCGCCAAGGTCGGCCTGCCCAACCTTGAGTAATTACCAATAAAATTCCCATCTCATGGGAATTACTGGGAGTTACTGCCCTGTATTCTTAGTTACCGAGGAATCCGGCGCTCATAGCGGTCTCGACTCGGGAAGGCGTTCGGGACAGACCGGGAGCTAATAAACAAGTAAAATTTAATAGATAGATACACAAGCCTTGAGCAGTTTTTTTCGACGCGACGCGATGGGCGCCCCCGACGCCCCGTCGCGCGCGCGACCGGCCGAGGAGGACGCGGCGGAGCGGTCGCGGGAGCTCGAGCGGGAGATCTCAAACGCTGCGGGAGATCGACCGGCGGACTGCGCGGCGTACACCGAGGCCCAGCTCTGCGACGACGAGCACAAACAGCTGTCCATGCGCCCCGCGAGCGCGCCCCGGGCGCGCGTCGGCGGCGAGGACGCGGTGGCCGCCGTGCGCGCGTCGGCGCGCGCGCTGAGCGGCGCGGCGGCCGCCGCCGCCGCCCGCGCGCTAGGCCGCGCGCGGCCGGGGCCCCGGCCGGCCGCGCGCGTCGCCGACGACGACGCCGCGCCGGCCCCGGCAGACCGGAACACGCACCGCATGGAGGACCACCCGGCGTGCCTCGCGCCCGCGCTCGTCGCGGCGGCGCAGCGCGCCGCCGCCGGCGCGCGCGCGCGGCCGCGGCGCGACCGAAACGACCGCGACACCACCATACTCCTGCCCGACACAATCGTCGTATCGCGCAACAAGTCGCGCGCGGCCGGCGCGTGGTTCCTGTGCGCGGGCGGCGCGCCCGACTCTCGCGCGGCGCGGCTCGCGGACGTCGTCGCCGCGGTCCTCGAGGCGCCGGCGGCGCGGTCGACGGTGCTCGCGGCCGACGGCGCGGGCGGCCTCGCCGCGGCGACGGCGCGCCGCCCGCGCGGCCGCGGCGGCGCGGACGCCCCCCCCGCGCGCGGCGCCCGACGCGCGCGCGGCGCCCGCGGCGCCCGCGGCGCCCCCGGCCGCGCGCGCGCCGCCCGCGCTGCGGCGCCGCTGGATCCCGGGCGCGCGCGCCGCGCCCGCGCGCGAGCCGCGGCGCCGGCTCCTCGGGGCCGCGCCGGCGGGGGTGGCGCCGCGCCGCGCGCCCCCGCGCGCCGCGCCGGCGCCCGCCCCCGCGCACTTCCATCCCCCGACCGTGCCGCCGCCCGTGGCGCGCGGCGGCGTCTGCCTCGGGCGCCGCCTCCTGGCCTCGGCCGCGGCCGGCGGCGCGGCGGCCCCGGTCCGCCGCGGGGGCCCGCGGGGGCCGGGAGCCGGATCGGCCGGCGGCGCGGCCGAGGACGGCCGGCGCCGCCGCGCGCGCGCGCGACCCGGCGCCCCCGGCGTGGTGCCCGCCCCGGCCCTTTAGCGGCGCGCGCTAGCCGACCCACTTGTTGCCGCACGCGCAGCAGACGAAGATGAGGCTGAGGCTCACGGCGGTGACGCCGCTCTCGGCCTGGAAGAGGACGGCCGTGTGGTGGCCGCAGGCGTCGCAGCTCACGTGGTCCGACCTACGAGGGACGGTGGGGCGCCCCGGCGTCGGACGCGCGCGCGCGCGCCGCCGCCGGCGACCCGTCGTCGGCGCGCGCGTCGACGGGCGGCCGCCGCGCGGGTCGGCGCGCGGGGCCCGGGGCGACGCCGCGGGCCGACCGCTGCAGCGTCGGGTCCTGGACGACCTCGGCGGAGATCGTGTCGAGGCGCGTCGACACCTCCTTCTTCAACCGGTTCTCGTAGACCTTGCCCGTGTGCGCGGGCTCCTCGTAGCCGCCTGCGCCGAGATCGACCGCCGGTTCGGGGGATCCCGACCGAACTTCGGAACTCTCGAGCTCCGTCGAGTCGACGTCGGTTCGGCCGACGTGTCGGACGAGCGCGTGTCTCGCGTCGAGTGCTCCGCGGAGCGCGCGCGAGGTCGCGTCGAGACCTTCGAGTACGCGCGCGCCGACGTCGGGCGGAACGCGCGGCTTCGGCCCGGGTCGCCGCAGTTGCGGCACGTGAGCATGAGCGCGGCGGTCGCGCGCGCCTCCCGGGGCTGCCACATGTTGCCGCACTGGGGGCAGAAGCGCCGCTCGGGGTCGCGCGAGTCGCGCGTCACGCGCGGCCCGCCGGCGGCGGCGCCCGGAGCGGCGCCGGCGCCGGGCGCGGGGCCGACGCCGCCGCCGTCGTCGTCGTCGTCGTCGTCGTCGTCGCCGAGGCCCAGGTCGTCCTGGTTGTACGCGCCGAAGGCCGGCGCGGCGTCGTCGCCGCCCGGCCGCGCGTCGAGCGCCATGGCGTCGTCGTCGCCGCCCGGCCGCATGTCGAGCGCGACCTCGTCGTCGTCGCTTCCAAAGTCGGCCATCGCGCCGGCGAGCGCTCGCGCGCCTGCGGGGAGGAACGCGGTCAAGGAACGGAGCGCGCGGCGAGCGCGTCGGGGGGCGCCCCCCGCTCGTCGGCGGCGGCGCTCGAGCGCGCCGGCGGCGGAGCGCGCGGTCGGCGGCGGCGCGCGCGGGGCCGGGGACGCGCTCCCGGGAGCGGCGCGGCGGCGGCCGCCGCGGCGGCGACGGCCGCCGCGGCCTCCGGATGCCGGGACGGTTTTGCCGTCGTCGGCGACCCGGCTCCCCGGCGGCCCCAGGGGGTCGCCGGCGCGCCCATCGACGCGGCGCAGACATCGAGAGCGCGCTCCCCAAAGCGAGGCTCTTCGGAGCGGTTGTCGCTCATATGGTCGCGCGCGCGACGTCCGCGCCGACCC